TTCTCCCTCCCCCGCAACTCACAGGGACCCTGTCCGGGTATTTCTTCCGGATCTTTTCTCCTTCCTTTTTCCGATACTCGAAGGGATGGTCCTCCTTATACTGGAACTTCATGATGAACCGCAGGGTTTCTAAGATCCCCGGGCGGGGGCCTGCCTCCAGGGCTGATGGCTGCGTCGCTCGCGTCGGGCCTCCTTCCACCAAATGTCAGGACGTCTCAGGATCGCCTCGGAAATGGCAGCTCCGGTCGCACCGCAACTCTAGGCCGAGCTCTCGGCAGGGATCTCGGCTCCTCGCGTCTGCAGGTCCAGGCAGGTCGGTGAAGAACCCGCGGCGGCTTTCCCCGAAAGCTGGGAACACAAAACAACACGGCGGCGCGTTGGGATTGTGACGTCACGGCGCCCCGCCCTTCGCCCCGCCCCCGGCGCCCCGGACCCCGCGGGATGGGGGGGGGGACAGACACGTGGTCGACTTCAGTGTGTTCTCTTCCTATCTAACCTTGTCATGAATAGAATCCATTGCAAACGGAAACGGATTTTATACTTCTTATTCTATGGAGAGTGTGACATGAAAAAAGGTTTTAAAACCAAAAAAAAAATGTTCTAAAGATGTCTTCTTCCCTCTTCCTTGCTGTGTCTTGGTTGGGTCCAAAAACAAACACACTGGGAGAAAAACCAGCCTTTTCCAGCTGGTTGGGATCTGGAATCTGGGGAAACCGGGGACGAGGGTCCTGGGGTTCCTTCGGCCGGTGCAGACCTGCCCTGCGCTTGCATGTTGCCCTTTGCTGCTTCAGTTGCATCCGCCGGGCACCTTGGGAGCTAGGCTGGCTTCCTTAGCCGGTGACCCCTCCTTCACCACGTTGGCGTCATTTTGTTTGTGTTCCTGCTGCAGTTTGCTCCTAGAACAGGAACATAAACAAATCGTGACTCAGGAATTCAAAGAGACGTATTAGGTGAAGGGCATGAAGTGTAATCAAGGTCCCCAGAGGGGTGTCAGCCATGACTCCAAGGGCTGCATGCATGCTCAAATATAGAAATGATTCACTTTCTCCTGTTAGCTCAGAAGATGGGGAAAGAAAATATCAAGATTGAAGTGATTAACTCAGTAGTTCTTCTCAAACTTTCTTTTTTCTTATACAAGCATTTACCTGAAGGATAGATAGGACTACTGCTTAAGTGTCCCCAATGTGAATAGAAAGTGCCACCAGAAAGGGTGGCGGGCCCTCCCCTTACCTCCCCAAGAATCAAAGGGACTAGGGCTTTTCCAGCCTCTCTTAATGGCAGGGACCTTTTGGGGAAGGGCAGCAGAAAGTATAAGAAGTGTGAGGAAGGGCTGCTTACCCAGAACAAGCTCAGGAAGTTCTGAAAACTGTACGAGACAGCGCAGCCAGTGTGGCTCAGTTGTTGAGCAGGGACCTATGAACCAGGAGGTCAGGGTTCCTTTTCTGGTCAGGTCATATGCCTGGGTTGTGGGCTCAATCCCCAGTAGGGGACGTGCAGGAGGCAGCCGATCAATGATTCTCTCTCATAGTTGATCTTTCTCTCGCCCTCTCCCTTTGTCTCTAAAATCAATAAAAAATATATTTTTAACAAAACTGTATGAGACAAAGGGCAGCCCCTGTCACCTACATTGTATCAAGTCTCAGTGTCTCTGATTTAAAAAATAAAGCCACAAAATAAAAGAAACGAAGCTGTACTGTTGAAACAGGAAAGAGAATTGTATAGCCCTACTTCTTGATGTTAATTATTTTTCACCCTGGCATCTTTCGGTCATTTTTATGGGTGAAAATCCACCCCAGAGATGGGAGGAATGTTAAAGAATTTGTGAACATGTTTTAAAACCACCACTATTATTCAAATCCATTCTTAATTAGTCTTTAAGTTTTGTCTTTATCATTTCTAGGAGAGAGGGAGAGAGAGAGAGAGAGAGAGAGAGAGAGAGAGAAAGAGCTCACTAAAGCCAGAAAAAATATAATAAAACCATATTGTTACAGAGCAGTAAGAAGCTTAAAAAAAATTCAGTACAAGCAGAATAGGGAGACTAAGATAGTTAAACAGCAGTTTGCAGCCACCTGATAGTAAATATTATCTTCCCTAAACCAAGGATACTTAAGAGTAAATGGTTTGTACTTCACCTCCTCAACCACAGGGTAAATAGCATAAATCACTCTACTCAGGGAGACAGATAGCAGAACCCCAATTATTGCCATTTGCCAACCACACCCAAGGACAGACAAATTAAGAGAATAAATCTCATTTTGGTACATCAGCATAAAGATGCTGAATATTCTATTGATTCTCCCCTAAGACCTCCCCTAAACACCCAGCCATTAAAACCCCTGAGAATGAAGGTCCCAGTTCTCTCTCCCTCTAGAGAGCATGCCTGTGCCATTCCCTCCCGCTCTCCTCCCCCCACAGGCACATATCTCCTCAACTTCAGAGACCTCTGGAGACTTGCAACCATGGAAGCAATAGGCAGTGGCAGGTTGGCCGTCCAAGGCTAACCCCTTGAACCTGTCTCCAAGTGAGCCTTTTTTCTGACTTCCCAGTGGGCCTAGGCCTCCTGTTACTTCTATGCCCTGCCTAGTTTCACTGTCCTAAGTGTTTTTGCTATCCTCAATAAAGTCTTGCTTGTTTTTCTACACTTTGTCTCTTGACTGAAATCTCTCCTTCAAGAAGGCAAGAATCAAGGTCTCATCAACTCGCCTGTAACACTATTTCAATGTGTCATTTCTTTTCTTAATATCATTCCATGGTTATGGATTCTCTGCTGACCTTGGGGAAAAATTCAATAGAAACATTACAATAAAGTTGAGGAAATTTCCTAGGAAGTAAAATAGTAAGACAGATGGGAAGAGGGCAAAGGGATGCAAATTAGAGTTTCAACATTCAAATACTAGGAGTCTCAGAGAGAGTTCAGAAAATGGGGAAGGGAAGTTAGATTTTAATTATAACAGCTAGTTTTGCCTTAAAAATCCTAAGGGGATTTTGTGACAAGCTAAATTATCATTTAAAGTATAAGGGTAGTACATGACATTCCTTAAACATGGAAACCAAAATTTCATTGCATCTGTTTTCAGGAAGCACCTGCAAAATGGGTAAGTAAACCAAGAAAGGAAAAGACATGGGATACAGGAAACAGGATTTGACACACGAGAGCGATGAGGATAATCACCAAGGTAGTAAAAGCGGTTAATATTTACTAATGTTTTAAAATACAAGCTTTATGTATAGTATGTGTATATTAACCCCCATAGTCCTCACATAATAATGTAATATACTCATTTTATCCCAATTTTACAGCAAGAAATTGAAATATAGAACTATTAAGTAACTACACCGTGATTGATTGGACAAGGAGTAAGGGAAAGAACCAAAGTATTAACCCACAAAGCCTGCTTCCCATTAAACTCATATAGTCAAAATTGTGATATACTAGTAACTATATTTAGAAGATAGGAGGGCACAAGGAATGTTCAGATGTGTTATGGTGGTGTGGGGGTCCAGAACGAGCCACCCCAAGATGTGCTTCAGTGGAATGCAGATTACTTTGAGATGTTAGATTAGGCTCCGGAGAAACTTTTATCTGGAGGAATTTGAATTAGAGACATTGCCCATAAGAAATTATCAGAGATAACTGTTTTTGACCTATCAATATATAGGTCAAGGCAAACTACTAATACTGAATGTCTGCTCTTCTTATCATCCTGCAATGACTTTGGAAGCCCCCAGTGCACCTTACCTCACCTCTAGCTCAGGATGTCTTATATACCTCAATCCCCTTTCTATCGCTGAACCTCTCATGTATGCAGGGTCTCTGACTCTCTCATGTGGGTGGGGTTTCTGAGCACAGAAGATTAACTTTGATTTTCTCTTGTCAATCTGCCTCCTGTTATTTTGATTATTCCAGCCAGCCAAAAAGAACCAGAGGGGGAAAGAGGAATTTTTCCCCTTCCCCATAGTAGCAAAGATAGGGATCATGGTAATAAAAAAAAATGGCTAAATGTTCATCTTCGACAATGCAACATATGCATAGTATTTGGAGAAATGTAGAATTTACAGACTCAGCTAAAAAGTAGGAAGTTTTCGTATATGTATGTGTGTGATGGGAAGGTGCTACTTTCCTTCACAAGCCTTGTTGAGCTCTTTGACGTTTAAATCGCTATTAATGTATACATTTGATGAAAGGAAATAAAAATTAAACTTAAAAATAAGAGCAAAAGGTTTTTCAGTTTGTTTTTTAAAGTCTTAGGAAGCTGAGTGGAAAACCAGCTCAGACACTCAGCTCCCTGCAAATTATATCACTGCTCTACAATTTAGTCTCCTACACAGGGAGTTTGGAGAGCCAAATGGTGCCCTGTGGGCATTCAAATGGTAATGTGTACTTGCCAGTTATTTGACTTTTAATAACCTTTGTCCCCTTTGAATTGAATTTGCATTTATCTACTTTGGTACTTACTGAGTTTGAATTTATAACACTTTTGAGAGAGGGAAAGGGTAGTTAGTACTCAACTTTACCACCTATGATAATTAGTATTAACACCACAGGGAAGAGCAAATTCTAAATCTAGTTAGTGCAAGAGGGGAGTAAGAGAGATCCTGTACAGGCAAGTTGGATATACAAACTGGTACTCAAGACAGGTCTAGATACTTGAAACATTGATATCACTTGTCAAACAAGGACTGCAATCATCAAAGGGCAACATGAACAATTAAAGCATGAGTACCGTGAAGCTGAAATAAAGAGGTGTTAAATGTAGCCCACCTTTTTTCATGACTTTGCCTATAAATAAGCTTTTATGAAAAAAGTTGAAGAAGTCGTGTCTGTGAGGTAGACAGTTCAACAGCCATTGACTAGTCTCCCTGTCTTCTACATCTCACATCTCTTCTCTCCTGACAGCCAAAACATCTTACAAGCCACATGATCTCTTTCCCCTCTTCAAAAACTTAACAGTGGCTTTCATAGCATGCAGGATAAAGATCAAACTGCTTAAGCGCCTATGTAATGCCTTCCATAAAAATGCCAACCTGTCTTTCCAGATTCATTCTTATTATATCCCTTAGCATTTTGAACACTCTCCACAATTCACATTCTCATTATTTCTATCTTTGCCCATTGACAGAACATGCTCATATCCTGTATATCTAGTGTTTAGAATTCTAATTTGTCAGGTTTCAACTCAAACACTACCACTTTCATTTCAAACTCTTAAAATCATGAGGTGATTTTCCGAAGTGGGAAAGTATAATTCTGGCTTCACCAGGGTGAAGGTGCCAACAGAAGGACCCTGGCCAACATTACTCAGAGACAGCATGCAAAATATTTTCCACAGTTGAACTCTCAATATATCTTGGCCAATCCATAAATCACTCAAATTGTTTTCCCAGTCAGACAGCCTGCTCAAGGGCAGATTTCCCATTATGGCCTCTTGATTACCTTCCAGACAATCTGCTTATCCAAGGAAAAGAAAACACAGCTTGCCATTCCCAGACTTTGCAATTTTTCTCCCTGTCTCTTAAGTTGGTTACATAAACCCCATTTTTGCTTTATTCTCACATACCCATATATAAATAAACTCTTTTTAAAAAATATGTTTATTTATTTATTTCAGAGAGAGGAAGGGAGAGGAAGAGAGGGATGAAAGCATCAATGATGAGAGATAATCATTGATCAGCTGTCTCCTGCATGCCCCCTATTGGGGATTGAGTCCCCAACCCCAGGCATGTGCCCTGACTGGAAATCGAACCCTGACCTCCTGGTTCATAGGTTGATGCTCAACCACTGAGCCATGCCAGCTGGGCAAGGCCCTCAGCACTTTTAACTAGGACTTTTACAATAGGCTCCTAGGTGGAATTAAGACCTGACTTCTTCACACTTCAGCTAAGATCTCAGACTTTCACCAGAATATCTTTCTAAAATACTGATCACATTATGGAACTCTTCTGCTAAAAATACATTAAGTAGCTCATCATCTTCTAGTTCAGTGTCTGAATCATTTAGTACAGGCTTAACAATGGGCACTTTTTTTTTCAGCTCTATCCTCTCCTTCCATTTTATAATACATAATTCATATAAAATATTTGTATTGTACTAGTAAAGGGAAGAAGCTAGTAGAAAATGAACAATTAAAGAATAAGCAAGAAGAAGAAGAAGGAAGATGGGAAGTTGAATATCTCGTTCATAACCACATACAAGCTTTATCTTAGATTAAGTTGGCTTAGATTTTACCAAGTTTATGAAATGCCTTTTCCCCATTTTAGAAATTACTGCCTTGAATTCACCCCTAAATCTGGTCTTATCCAGTCTTTCCCATCATAATAAACTCTAATACCTTCCATGTATTGGCTCAGCTCAATGATCTAGGAGTCATTTATTACTCATGATGATGGTATCCCAATATATCTTTCAAATACCTACAGTTATCGCTACTTTCATCTCTAATATCACCATGGTAGTCCTATCCACAAGCATCTCTTATCTACTCTTCTTCAATAGCCTCTCATCTGGTCTTCATGCTTTCATTCACTGCTCCAGTCCCTTCTCCTGTAGCATTCACTCACTGTTAAAATTCAAATTGCATAAGTGACTTACTGTTTAAAATCCTTCAATGACTTCTTGATGCATGTAAAATATAGTCTATACTCCTTGCCCCCAAGGCCCCTTGTCTCTCTCAGACTCCATTTTTGCAGCTCCCTCCTAAGCTCACTAAATCAACTACTCCAGTCTTTTTCAGTTTCTCAAATTTACCCAACCGTATCACATCTTTGAAAATGCTCTTTCATCACTCTGCCTTTCCCAATGGTTCTTTGCACTCTTCATGTTTGAAATATATATATATATATTTGAGGCCCAGTGCATGAAATTCATGCACAGGTAGGATCCCTAGGCCTGGCCAATGATCAGGGCCAACCAGGGCCTTCCGGCTGCTGGCCAGGGTTTCCTGGCTGCCAGCCAAGGTCTCTGTTCCATGGCTGCTGGTGGGGCCTCCCTTCCCCGGCTGCTGGCTACCAGGCAGGGCCTTACTTCATTCCATTCCTCCCCCCTGGTGGTCAGTGCACATCATAGCAAGTGATCGGTCTCTGGTCAAACTCCTGTGGGGACAATTTGCATATTAGGCTTTTATATATGTAGATTTGCTTTTTCTTAAGCTCTGTGAGGACCAAGAGTCAGAGACCCTGTGTTTCTTGCACACTTTTATACCTCCAGTTTGCCTCAGCACCATTCTTGGCACATAATTTCCATTGAATCAAATGTAATACAACACACAATTAGAAATATTATTATTGGGAAGCAGGAAGGACATCTATTTCATTTAGACAGAAGGAAAGAGGAAAGGAGAGGTTCAGAGCCACAAGGGTTGTAGCTTTGGGCTAGGAAGTTACCTGAAAGCTTTGATTTCCTCTCTAAACTAAGAAGACAAATCCTCTGCCTAGAATTAACGAGTAGGTTATGGGGTGTGAAGTTTGAAGAGATATTGAAATTTGAATAACTACTGAAAGGAATGGAAAAATTACTAAAGAAAATCTAGAAGAAATGGTAAATGGTCCTGGTGTGTTGGAGATCATGACCTTGTAAATGACCTCAATCAGCAGCGTTGAGAGATTTTCTGCAGCTCTTCTGTTCAGCAGTGTAGGCTTTGGGGAGAAATCAGTTAGCTTCAATGAACCAATGTTTAAAGTTTGAAGAATAGGTGTGAGGAAAGTTTAAAGGGGTTAAAATTTTTTGAGAACAGTGGCTAAAGTGATTGAGCTTATTAACAGATATCTTAGATAGAGTAGATAAAGAAGTGAAGTCACATGGGTGCTACCAGCTTGTGACAAAATGGAATGGTGACAGGAGTGAACTCCATGTAGCTACTAGAGGGGCATAGGGGCAGGGAGAGATGGGGCAGAGAGATCTCTTTAGAATAAGATAGGATTTCTTCCAAGATCTTATTATACCTGACAACATTTTAACTTAAGACTGTGGTATCTTGAAGGACAAATGAAGCAATAATATTTCACAGAATGTGTGATAATAAAGTGATTCATTTGGCAGCAGCAAAACAAGGCCAACTCGTGCTATGAACAATTCATGCATTTCAACAATTTCCAGAGGCAATTTGATAAATGACCCAGGAAAAACGCAGATCACCAGCAGGTTATACTCAGAATAGTTTCCCTCTGGCGGGGCTGAGTGAGCATTCCTCCAAGAATGTACTTAATGAGGCACTGACTGCACTAATCAGCCATTCCTGGCTCTGTAATGTCTCTCTGAGTACTGGAGCTAATTTCCTAATAAATGAGTTTGTTCAAATGTTCCCTACCTCTACACAGAACACATTAACAAGAGTTGCATATCTTTAGTTGTTTACCTCAATTAACAAATATTATTGATGAAATAAAGCGACTTCAGGTGTGACTTAGCACTAACATAGCAAAAGGAGGAATCAGACATAATTTTCAGTAGGATCATAGCAGGCAGATAAAAATCAGACATCTATATCAAGAATAAAAAAAAACACACGTGCATAATACTTTACAAATCTGTCATATATACTTAGTTTATTTGACCCTCACATCAAAGAACATAGCAAAAGGAGGAATCAGACATAATTTTCAGCAGGATCATAGCAGGCAGATGAAAATCAGACATCTGTATCAAGAATAAAAAAAACACACGTGCATAATACTTTACAAATATGTCATATATACTTAGTTTATTTGACCCTCACATCAAACTTGTGAGGTGTTATCATTGCCTGTCTATCGTACAGATGAGAAAACGGTGCTTTAAAGATTCCATTGGGTTATCTAAGGTCACTGCTGAATAGAATTCACTTCCTCAATTTTCCAATAGTATTATACTTTGGAGGTAGTATGCTATGTGGGCAGTTTAACATGGCACAAGGGAATGGTGCCTTGGGAAGGATCTCATTTAGGCTTGATTCGCTCCCAGCAATGAAGAGGTGTGCAGATAGGAGACTGCATTTCTATCATGGCGCCACTAGGTGGCAGGAAAGGCCACCACTAGAGTCTAGTCTAGACTCTAGTCACAGTGCTTGTCACTAGGTACTTGGTTTCAAGTGGTCAACTCAGGCAGGAGAAAAGAAGCAAAGTAATGCTATTCTTTCAAAGTTAGAAAAGGGTGCGTGTGTGTGCTCAAGCACGTGCGTGCATGCGTGTGTTCACAGGGCAGAGGAACTGAAAATTGAATAGGACTGTTACTGTCCTCTGTGCACTGTCCAATACCACTGGTAGGTAGGACCAGAGTGAAAGAAAGACCTTTATATCTGGCATTTCAATATATACTGTGCTCTCCTAGCCCACACTGCAATCCCACCCCTGGATTATGGATGTCCAGTTAGATATTACATGATGTCCAAGATGACCATTGTCATTCAGTGTCAAAGTGGGTGTTCCCTCAAGAGGAAAAGTGAATTTGGTATATTAATGCTTATGGCTCCTCAAGTGTATTCTACCCAGGCGCTGGTAGAGAAGAGCAACTTGCAGTATCATGTGGGTAAAGGAACTCAATAGCTGAAGGAATTCAAGAAATCTTTGACACATTGCTAGAGGTTAGTTGCAAATTTTGGTATTGGATAAATAAGGAGAGTTCTCGATTAGAGCATTCCTTATCGGAAAATATATGTGGCTGGAAATGAAGTGTTGGAATCCATGTTTTCCACTAGATGATGTTTGGATTCATCCTAAATCTTCTGAAAGGTAGCAGAAAATGTTCCATTTGTCTATCTTTACCGACTCTGCGGATGCCCCCGCCCCATTTATAAAAGCGAAGTTCCCATCAATTTGGAGCGTGTTCTCCTTGAGGAGACACCTTCTCCACCGGAGGCAGCTGCTTCTCTTCTGGCACTGAGGGTAGGTCAGGTGCTTTCGGCCCACACCTGGCCACTGTGAAGCGACTCATGTGAAGAGCTTCCTCATACCCTGGGAGGGTGTCCACGGAGGAGGGCAGCTGGCCCAGCGGGCTGTGCGAGTGGGCCACCGCCAGGATTCTCCGAGCCGCCGGGCCAAACACTGACTGCAGGGCTGGTGCGGGAGAAGGAATAGAGCTAGAGTAAATGTGACATGCTCAGAGATCAGGCTTACAACATTCTAAGTTTCCCTCTACCTTACAACTGACCAAACTCGTTGTCAACTCTGTCACAAATGTTATGAAAACCTTGTGCAGCCTGTTTAGAAACCAACTTCACTTTCTGCTAAAAGACCCTGTCTTCTCCGGTATCCTCGAATAATCTAAATGGGGTTCCCATATCCCACCATCATCGGCAGATTTTGAACCCTTTAGACTAGGGGTTCTCAACCTGTGGGTCACGACCCCTTTGGGGGTCGAACGACCCTTTCATGGGGGTTGCCTAAGACCATCGGAAAACACATAACTAATTACATATTGTTTTTGTGATTAATCACTATGCTTTAATTAT